TTGGATCTTGAAAGGTGAGGACAGAAGGTGTTTCAGCTGTTTTGTAAAAAGCTCAGCAGTGTGAAGCAGCACTGAATGTTGGGAAGGAAGGAAAAGTGGTTGCCTTATAGAGGGGTAGGGGAGGGGGAGTTAGGAAGTGGAAAGGTGATTGGAGCAAGGATTGTCTTTAAGATATTCGAGAATTGGATTTTATTTTCTGGTTATGGCAAACAACTTTGTATAACAACAGATTCTTGAGCTGTAATCTACAGTTCATAATTCCTTCATTTTTAAATGTATCACTTAGTGTATAGGGCTTGCAACCACCAACACTACCGAGTTTGAGAACAGTTCAATTACCCCTGACTGTTTCTGTGTCCAGTAGCACTTAATTGTTTCTATCCTCAGCCCCATGGCAATCATGAATTTCATCTAAGTGTGTTTGCCTTGCCTGGATATTCCATACAGACAGGATGATATAACATGATCTTCTGTGCATACACTCTTAGCCAGGGTTTTTAGGATTTGCCTGTGCTTCTGTAGTAGTCCATTGCTTTTAGGTGCATAGTAGTTCACGTACAGACATATCCAAATATGCTTATTCAACATTTGATGACTTTAAAAGTGGTTTCCTCTTTGTGAGGATTATGAAAATTGTTGCTATGAACATTGAGACATATTCCTTGTGAGGCCTTGTGGTCTTGTTTTGCTTGAGTATCTACCTAGGCAAGGTATTGCCGACTAGTATGAGAAATTACCTGAGTTACTCTTTAAGAATCCATCAGATTATTTTCCAAGTTAACTGTACCATTGTTTTCTCTGCGCTTCCAAGCAGCAGAAGCTTCAGCTTTCTATTTGATTCTGCAAAGCTTCAAGACTCCAAAATTGAGTGAGTCAATTTGACTTTGGAGTAAATGACAAAAGTCCGTGTTTGTTGTGAGTTTGTGCAATGCTTTATTGGGCCAGAATTTTGATGATGGCAGTCGTTACTAGGTGTGTACCTCTTCTTGCAGACCAAATCAACACAGAAATAGACAAGATTCTATCCCCTTGACCTCATCAGTTCTCAGACATTTCCAGAACCCCTCAGCTAACAAGCTTCCTTTGTTGACGTGGAGTGAAATAGGCTTTGGGAATTGATAGTTTGATAACTGCTTCATTCAGTGAATTGCCTCACGAATCACTAGTCATCCTTAAGGTACTATGGATGTGGGAATCCAGAAATAGCCCCAGATCAAAGATGTTTGGTTTAGAAATGTGAGGAAATTTTGCTAGTAACAGTTTGCATAAATCTGTTTTTTCAATAAGGTGATATTTTAAGTGCATGTGTGTGGGGGTCATCATGTAATCAACACAGTATATACTGTGGCTCAGGATATGCAGTGTCAAAAGCCTGCAGATTTTCATACTTCGTGTTTAATGTTTTCTATGGTATGTTTCACTATGTGCTGCATTATGCGGGCCCTGGGTGGAACAAAAGGGACTCCAAAATAATTGCTCGTTGGAATGGTGATTTCTTTCTGCATGTGCCTAAATATCTCAGAGAAGTTGATTGCAACAGCTAATGTAGAGAATGAACCATTTTCTCTTTGTCTTTAGGATTTCGGGAGTGTTTTACTAGAGGAATAGGTTGAGAATGGTAGAAGCTACAGGGATGGAGCTAGGTCTCAGCCACAATGAGTTAGGCTAGTAGTGAAAATAATTTTGTCTTCTAAGTGAAAAATAATTGATAAAGCAATTACTCCTCCCCAAAGAGAAAGTCACCTTAGGGTAGAAATGTGATCCCAGAGTTCCCTCAAGTGGACAGAAACACATGGTTCCTGAGAGATGACTGTGTTTTATTGGAATCAATTATTTCACTTTCCAAGGAGAAAAAAAGAAAATTCAGATTACAATTAAATTCAGAGACACCAATTTAACTGTTTCTAACATCAGAACTCACCGATGCCAGAACAAAGCAAACTTCTCCTCAGCCCACAGCTGGAGCTAATAATCTCTGAGCATGAGGCCTCTGTACCTCCAGGGTTGGGTATGGGTATGTGGGGGTGGGGCTGGCAGAGGGAGCGTTGGTGTGATTCCTCTGGGGTTCAGGAAAAATCTCTTAACAAAGCACCCTCCTCTTACAGTTGTAGTAGGTGCGAAATAATTGTTCATGTTTATGGGCTGCAGTGTGATATTTGGATAAAGGTGTTAGCATGAAGTTGAACTAATGAGCTTGTCCATCATTTTGCTCATTTGTGTTGGTAATGGTCAAATCTTCTTATTTCCTTTGAAATGCAAAATGTTGTTGTCAACTGCAGTTGCCCTACTGCTTGCTATAACATCAGCACAGCAGAGCTTTCTCTTCTTAATCTAACTGTATTTTTGGACCCATTTATTCATCCTTCTACTCTTATTGTTGTTTCACTGGTGGCTTCTGTGACCTTAATAGCCATTTTTGGACTGTGGCATTGAACACCACTGGACTACATCTCCAGACTTGTGTTCCAAAAGAGAAGATGCCAAGGTGCTAAGCTGTACCACAGCAGTGGCCTCCCTGGCACCATGGACCCAGCCTGGTATTTTCACAGGCCTGTTGGGAGAAACTGAGACCTTGGTCCCTGTGCACTTGAGCTGTGTGCACATTAGATTTCTACATTCTGAAGCTACTCAGCTTCATTTTTTTTTTTTCTGGAGGTCAGGGGGAGCCTGGTAACTCCAACCAGACACTAAAACATTCTTGTGAGCAGGTTTTACTGGCTGGTCCGTAGCTGGTGCTTTTGCTTTCTTTCCTAGAGTTTATTCTTCACCTGACATTTGCTCTCCTTTCTGCCTTTCCTGTGTGATCATTATGAGGAGAAGTCTAAGAAATTCTTTTTGTATTCCCATCTGAATGCTCTCATGGGCACTGTAATTATTGTTGTAAGCAGAAGGAATTTAGATATGCATTTGGATGAGGTCTAGAGGTGACCGATTACAATTCTGAACTTTTTCATTAGTTCTCAGTTTCCTGAGACAGCAGAAGGGAGGAGCTGTAGCTGTCCAGGGCAGTGCTGTAAGACAGCACCATGTGCGTGATCTTCCCCTTCTTGTTTGCATACTTGGGAAGAAAAAGATGGAGAATGATTTTCTTACATGAAGTCAAATTTCAGACGAATTCAGATATTTATGGAACATCTCTTGCTTAGTGTAGTGCGTGTCTGTGTGTGTCAACACACCAACACACTTTATTCTGGCTTCAGAATATTTTATGTGTATGTAGTCACAGCTGAAGCAGGAGGATACAGTGAGCCCAAGACTACTCAGATATATAATACGTCAAACAAACAAACAAGCACAAACAAAACCCAAAAACTTAGGACCTAGGGAGATAAGAAAGTGCTTGCCACTTCAGCATAAGTGCCTGGGTTTGATATCTAACATGAACATAGGATTCCCAATGTGGTGGTACACATTTATTATTCCATTGCTGGGGAGGCAGGGACAGAGGACCTATGGGGCTCTCTGACCACTCAACCTAGTCTACTTCATAAGGCCCAGATCCCAGTGAGAGCTCTTGTCTCAATAAACCAAGTTAGATAACTCCTGATGAACACACACACACATACACACACACACACACACACACACACACATATGTATACATATACATTTACACTCTCTAAGAGTTTTCAATATTTTAAAAATAATTCACAATAATTTTGTTGTACCATTAAAATTATGTGATACTCATCAGATGTTCAATCCATGGTTTACCCTAAAGTGATCTACTGAAGGGAAGCCTGAGAGTGGGGTTGGGGTTGGGGATGGGGCAGTAGCAGTGCAGGTCACACCAGGCTTTGAATCTTGGGCATCTTTTTAGCCATGCCATCTCAATGGCTTCTGATGCAAAGATGAAAGTATGATGTACATTCAGGACTTCATTAGTGACTATTTCCAACAGCAACTACTGATGCCTAGCCATTGTCTGCATGGTCACACTTCGTCCTGTACTGTGGTGGCTTGAATGGGAATGGCTCCTACAGGCTTGTGTATTTGGATGCTTAGTCCCCAGGTGATGAACTGGAGTTGGTAAGGATTAGGAGGTGAGCCCTTGTTGGAGCCGTTGTGTCCGTGTTGGAAGAGGTTTGTGGCTGGGGGGTGAGCTTTAAGGTTTCAGAAGCCCATAGCAGGCCCTGTGTCTCTCGGCCCCGTGCCTGTGGATCAGGGTGTAAAGCTCTCAGCCACTGCTCCAGTGCTGTGCCTGTCTGCTTCCCACCATGATGATAATGAGCTAGTGCTATGTAACAGTAAGAAAGCATCCAATTAAATGCTTTCTTTTGTAAGAGTTGTCTTGATCACAGTGCCTCTTCACAGCAATAGACAGTGACTAGGAGGGTAGCTTGTATTGTTGCACTGACTATTCTCTTTCCTTTGCAGAATTAAAGCGAATGCATTTCTTTTTCAATGACCAAATAATCAATGCGTCTGAGGCTTGTAACATCACCAAATACCTGGAACTTGACAAAATGCAGATTCTGATTTACTAGGTCTTGGGTGGAGTTTGGAACTCTTTTATTTATTTATGTATTTATTTGTTTTTAAATTTTCTCTAATTTTATATGTATGAATATTTTCTGTGTATGAGTGTTTCCCTGCCTGAATACACATGTACACCACATGTATGTTTGGTGTCCATGGAGACTGGAAAAGGTAGTCCTGAAACTCAAATTAATAAGCTACCATATGGGTGCTAGGAACTGAATACAGATTCTGTTCTATAGCAGCTAGTACTCTGAATCACAAAGCCATCTCTTTTTGTTATTTTGTCTTTTTTTTTCTCCTTTCAGAGCTGAGGACCTAACCCAGGGCCTTTGTGCTTGCTTGCTAAGCAAGTGCTCTACCATTGAACTAAATCCCAAACCCCAACTGAGCCACCTCTAACAGTGCAGGTGGTGCCACTGTTACTGCTCTGTGGACCACTATAAGACCATCATAGAAGGGAAGATACAATCAGAAGAATATACAGTGCCACTCAGTAAGGAAGAAATGCCAGACAAATGTTCCATTAGAAGCTGGAGTTTTATTATAGGATAATAGCACACAAAGCACATCTAAAATTGATGTGTTCAATGCACTTTGAATAAAGGTACTGTAATGTTAAAGGTACAGTTTCTAAGTACAATATAACAACATCCATATTAGAATGAAAATTGGAGTATTTAAAAGACAACATTAAATCTCTCTTTTTTTTACAGCTTGTATTTACAAAATGAATCAAAATATTTTTTCTTTAAATTCAGGACTCAATAAAATAAGCAGCTGGGAATAAGCAATCTACCACTGTAGAGAGAACTGAAAAGAAAACCCAATATCAGTGAAAAGTGGGATGAGCCTCTAGGAAAGATCATTAGCAAAGTTTTAGGTCCACACTATGGATTTTAGGAATCCCAGTAAATGGTTTGCATTTCTAGTGTGACAGAAAAAGAAGCTTTACATCCTGTACACAAAAGAGACAGCAGCTTATTTATAGGTTCGGCATTGCTGCTTTCAAACTTTCACGACTACTCACAGCAGGCCAGTCTTGTCACTTGTAGAGTTGTGTGACATTTATGTGCTTGATCCTGGAGACCCCCACACAAGTAGACTCAGCATTTCATGTCCCCTGGAAGGACAGTGTGACTCTTAGACTTGGTTGTAATTGTTAACTGTAAGACTCTGCATGCTTTGTCAGTTTGCCAAAACCCCCTGGGTTGGGGAGTGTTTTAGTTGTGGGCACACCTGTCATTTTAAACAGTTATCAAGTATTGACATTTGCTGGCCATGTGCAAGTTCGAAGAGAGACAAATCTCTGCCCTAGGGAAACTTGGGATACTAAACTGTGCAAAAACCAGTCAATCTGTCCATCAAACAAACAAAATGTTTCAATCTCTCTTTGAGCTAGACAGTTAAGGAATGGCATGATTGCATTAAAAGAGATTTCTCTCTAAATTATAACAAATTCACTTTAAAAAGTCGATTGTTATCAGCTTTCATTAACCACCTGATTGCATTGATAATCAAGGGAATAGCAATAAAAATGGAAAATGTCCAGCATGGTGGGTAAGTACGCATTGTGATGCGTGGGATCCACTGACTGTGACTTGAGAAGTTATCACCTTCAGTTACAAAATGTGCAATAAACAGAAACATTTGCTCTACGTTTATAAATTGCTCAAAAATCTTTGCTAAAGATCTTACAAATTCAGTAATATTACAGAACAATTCTACTCAATATTTAAGAAGGCTAATTACACCCTTAGTTAGATATTTGATACTTTAACAATGCCAATCGGTCTTGGGGAAAGATGTCAGAGGGTTTACTTAGCTCATTATTAAACAAGTTTTAAAACAAAAGTCCTCCACTCAGTTCACAGAACTGGTTGTCATAGTAGAATATCATCCCTTGGTGAATTTACAGGATAGCCCAATGTATATGCTTATACATCTCATGACTCAGATGAGGTGAATGGCCTAGGGTCCTATCAATCTGCCATGAATATTCTACATATTATCTATCCTAGAAGTTAAATGTCCAGTCCAGTCAGGGGCCAATTACAGAGTTCTCAGTAAGGGAAAAAAGGATCTCTCCACTAAACAAAATTGTTGCTTTGGGATCAAGGCCTATCAAATTTTTCTCAGCTCAGGAGATGTGATGAGGAGTTGAGCAACACACTTAAATAAGTGGTAACAGTTTTTCATATCTATACTTATGAACAAACTTACCCAACAGATGTCAAATATCCATACTAAGGAAGTAATTTTATCCTAATTAAATACACTCTAGAATAATTTATATACTGATATTATGTATTTAAAGAGAAAAGCATGTCCCAAATCTAGCACTCTGATACAGTTGCCAGTTGGGTACAGGTAGATATATATATATATATAGATATATATATGTATATATATACAAATATATAGTTATACTCAGTGAAATTAACAAGACCCAAAGGTGGTTTTGTCTAGGAATAAAAGGGATTTTTTTTGTTGTTCACAAAAGTAACTTATCTAGCACCACACATCAGAAAAACACAAAAATAGCACACTCTAGTTCTAAACAGCTATGTCTAAAATAGATTATATAGTAAAACCAGTATTACACAGCATATTGTGGATTTGATAAACAGATAAATATTTGCACTGAGTAGGCTGTTTATAATATAACATCTTCTTATCTATACAGAATGAAAGCCAGAAAGTTAACTGTATAGAGGTGTGCAGAACAACATTAAATATTATGACTCAAAAGCAGGGTGAAGGTAAATTTGAAAGAAGAGTAGGAGAGAAAATGTGTACAGGCCGTTACAAGTTCTTAAGTTAATAGTAAATAAGGAATCTGTTGCTTGAGTTGAAGAAAGCAGTAAACAAGAGATTGCATTTACATGCAGATGTCTAAAATTTGTAGTTTTTAAAGTCTATGCACAAAAGTCATTTGTTTTATTGCTTGACATTCAGTTATGGCTAGATTATTTAACCTATTTTTTTTTGTACTTTGGAAACAAGTATATTGTTAAAGGTGCCATAAAAATGGACAACATTGAAAACAGTTTGTAAATAAACCACCCAACACTGCAGTTCATTACAGATTAAAAGCCTTGTCTGGGGTTTGTCATAAGTTCAATATATTGAAACTGGGAAAATATGTTGTAGCTTGAAGCCTCCCATTGGCCCAAACATCCAATACAAAAACTTGTCTCCACAAAAGGAGCACACAGACAATACAGGTACATTTAAAGAAGCAGCCAGCTAATGTCCTACTGTCTAAAACATTCACCACTGTTGTAGATGAGATTTCAAACCATTATGATTAAGCAGAGAATTGGGGATTCAGGAAGATGTGTACAGTACATACAGATTGTGTATGTATGTGTGTATGTGAAGTCATAGTCACTATATTGCTCAAGAAGTATCTGCATTTACATATGCAGTGTGTTCAGTGATTATCATCTTCTTAGAAGTAGTTACTCCTCCACACAAGTCATAATGAATGAGAAAAGGATCATACATGAACACTGGAGAGAAGCCTGTTGTTCTAGGGGAACAACATAATGACATGCACAGCCCATAAAACTAACAGCCAGCTGTCTGTCATTAGCTTCTAGAAGGACCAAAGAAAAAGCATAGGACAGCTAATGAGGCAAAACACACTGGATGTAAACAGAGAACATGGATTCCTTCCAAACATTCATTTCCACTCTCCACATTAGACCCTGGGAAAAGGTGGCTTCTATTTGGATCAAAATATTCTGTCACCCATTTACAAGTAAATAAGCGACTGAATAGTGTTTATTGCTCTAAGTTCTGAGGGTGTGGTCGAGCATACTCTGCCCTCATTCATGGCGGCTTCCTGGTATGAAGCCAGTCTTCCTGTTTGTTTAAAAAAATATTTTGAGAGTATGACAAATTGATCACATACAAGCATACACAGGCGCGTGCGTGCACGCGCGTGCACACACACACACACACACACACACAGTCAGAAGTGCAGCCAATCGCTTTTGAAGACATTGATAGCTGGCCTTCTCAGTTAAACAGCAGTGGGGAGGTCCCTATCATCAAAGCTGGTGGAAGCATTTCATGTGTTAGTGTTTAGGGAATGGAATGAAGACCAGTATGACAGAGAGCAACAATCAACCGATATTTGACTGTTGCAACTGCATTTCTGGGCACATATCTGATCCACAGTTCAAGGCTGTTGTTGTGGGATTCTGAATCACAACTTTATGAGTAAGCAGTGGCCCTGTGATGGTATGTAAAAACGTCTATCACATGTGCATGTCCGCATGGATGAAAGGGGAGAAGGGAGATTTCTGTCACCTCCACAACAAGGTATGAGGTATCAACTGTCACCTGATAATTTTCCATACCTTGTGTTCTCCTACTGTAATAAGAAGCTATGTAGTTTTGCCAAGTGTGTGTTATGGGGCAGGAGACTCGGAACCATTAGCTACAGTGGGTATCTCTGGCTTCATGGAAAGTGTTATATGGGACCATGTGAACTCAACTTCGGTTCAGAGCTGTCACGCCTTTAAGTGAAAGCTATCGTCTGTCATGCAGGGATCAGTTTGTCTTTAAATGAGAGCTCTCTTCCAGGAAAACAAATAAAACCCCCCACTAAAAAAGCTAGGAATTCGGAATAGGAATTGTTTTGCATAGCGGGAGTGTGGTTTGTCCCTTGAGGGGAGTACAGTGAAAACCAAACCCTTTGTTTTCTAGCTCTGAAGGACTCTGTTGTGGGCCACTTCATTGATAGGTCTTCCTGCTAGTTAAAAAAAAATTAAATTCATAACACATAGAATCTGAAGTTGTTTAAAGGTGTGTTTCACAGGAGCATTTTAATTATTAGGGAAACAGCAGATGGGCTGCACTGTGCTCCGATTGGGCTGTCACTTCCAAATTCACCTTCCATTTACACTGCCTCAGGAGTTAACGTGTTTTCAAACACAGGAATTTTGAACTCAACAAGATGAGATGGTGAAGAATTCACACAGACAGACAGACAGACAGACAGACTGACACTTCTCTACAGTTCACTTGTGCCTTGGAGGGATATACCATTACTATCATTGTTTTTAATAGTAAAACCACATTTGTCCCAGTCCACTGGTCACCCTGTTTGAAGAGTTTTACAAGTTCCCTGAGCACAGTGTTTGACTCTCAGCCCAACTCCAGATAACAGGGCTCTGTCCTTGACACCAAGATGGATTGTCACTCACAGTAAGTCAGCCATAAGGTACGGAGTATTATATTATTATTACCCCTTTGTTTTCCACCAGTCAGCACAAAGAACTGTCAGAAAATAGCTTTTTATTATTATTATTAATATTATTATTATTTTAAAATAATAGTACTGGAAAGACATGACTCAAACAATCCGTGTTTGAAACAGTGGCTTTAGGCTGATTATCTGGCTGCCTCTCAACAATAACAAGTGATTCGATCGACATTCCATAGCCAAAAAACAAAAAAGGAAAATAAATCAAAAAAAAAAAACCAAACAAACAAAAAACCAAAACAAACCCAACAACTGTACAAATATGTGTTTTTCCCTGAGGGATCAAAGTACACCCGCAAGTGCTCTATGTACAGATATTGCACTAGGTAAGAATTAAAAGACGTGTGCAAAAAAAGCAACAGGAGAGACGCTTGCATCCTACTGAAACCTCCTCATCAAGGCTTCTGCTAAGTTGCTTTGCATTTTGGAATGTCGGAACACAAACAGCCATCCCTTAGTCTAAAACAAAAAACACATACATCTACTATGGCACATTCAATGAAATAAAAAGTTTTCCAAAGACAGATAGGCAAATTCCATCAAGAAAATAATACAAAGTTTGTTTGTTTGTATTTTTTTTTTTAGAAAATTACATTACTTTCTTTCTTTGTTTCACATTACAAAATCTTTTTTTTTTCTTTACACAAATCACATTTTATTGCAGGAATATTTCTAGTGCCATCAAATATTTATAGAAGGGTTAAAAAAATAGAAGTCTCTCTAGAGTGGTCCAGACAAGGCTTTGTATAGAATAAATCTTTTTTTTTCCATCTTCTAGTTTTGATTTATGTATTTTGAATACATTTTCTTTTCCATTGACACTTAGTAGCCTAGAAGCGGTCTAACATACACACTTCATACACACAGAAGCCACACGCACACAGGCACACACGCTCTCGCCTCCCTTGACCCTCAGCCCACCCCCATCCACTCACAGAGATCTGGTATCCACTGGCTAAAGAACAACCCAACTTAGAAGCAGTGTCTTAAGTCATGTTTTCCATAAGTTAGGAAGGGTGAATCAGGATGTTAAAGACTTCGGGGAAAAAAAAAATCTATGGATTTAACACAAATTAGAATACTGAGTGCTTTAAAACCAAACCAAACCAAACTCAAACTCGCAGCCTTAGCGCAATTTATGGTCTGTCCAAAAAGTGCTTTCAGCTGCACTTTGGGTTTCTGTGTGGCCAAGGCCAGTTTCTCACGATGTTCCTGGATCATTTGCATATCACAGTGACAACGTTCAGATTTTGTACAAAAGCCTCATTTACCTTCTGTAGAAAAAAGTTACTTGATGGCACTCTTGCAGCTGAGCTGACAATATGGTTCAGTCCCCAGGAGACTGGGAGCCTTTAAGTTCAGGCAATTTTAATGGCATAAACTATTAAGCCTCATGATTCTGTGCCATCAACCATCTTGTGACACTACACAAATGGTTCTCACAATCAGGAAGAAAAGAAAAATGCCAAAGTTTTACATCCTGTTCTGGACTCCCCGTGACTCTCACCTTAGGTACAAATCCTAGTGAGTTGTCCTCTGAGTTTCACACAGCATGTCTGGCGCTACAGCTCCATCCCTACAATGTCAGAGGACTTTGCTCTAAAAGCCAACTTCCAGGTTTTCTTTCAGGAAAACCTGGAAGCAGTCACACCGCTCTCTCCTGGTGTGCTGTAAAAGCAATGTCACCATGGCATAGTACTGAGATTGGAGTATCTTGCGTTTGTGTTTTACATAAGTACATACAGAATCCTTCCTGGGAAAATGAATTTCTCTGAAGTTCAATATCACGCTCTCTCTCTCTCTCTCCTTCTCTTTCTCACCCTTAAGAGACTCTCAGCCAGCTCTCCTTCGTTACACGTGGACACTGGAATTGGGTTTAGTTGCTCTTTAGTGCGCTAGCACCTGAGGCTGGTCATATGCAGAAAGCTTTGGTTAAAATGAAGTTAATATATTTTACTAAATCTATCCCCAAATTTAGTGACTCTGAAGATCTAAACAAGAAAGAAAAAACCAAACCCAAACCTCACACCATTCCCTCACACAGGAGAAACAACAGAAAAAAGGGCAAATAAATAACAAAACTGTACTCTCTTCAGAATATAAATACTATTAATCTTTAAAGGAACTATGTTTAAATAAAATTTTGATTTACCCCTTCTTGCCCAAATATAAATACTATATGCTGACCACTAACCTCTCCATATAAACACATAAAATTTTCTATGCTTGTAAGAAATTTAAGTAAATATCACTCCCCTGTTTATGATTAAACCTTTATGTTTTGGGGGAAAAATTTGATGTTATTTAGGCTTCCCCCACACATCTCTATACAAATAATTCCTTGCTACTTTCCAAGTCCCTCAGTAAATAAGGCAGAAAGTCAGTGAAGTTAGAAATTGTGAAGTGCTCTGGGAAGCTGGCCCTGGGAACCCATCAGAGGGACATCAGCAGGAACAGAAATGCTGGCAAGAGTCTAGAAGGACCCTATTGGCAGAGGAAGCAGTTAGGTGTTCATAAAAGCGCCCCTGGCCCTTGGAACACAGAAGATACCCCCTTCTCTACGGATACGGTCTTCGACACTAGACCAGTGTCTTGTGACCAACGTCATCTCCTAAACGCCTCCTAAACTCTCAAAGAACACTTGTTTTTAAGGATTTTTTTTATGTTTGTGTGTGCGTGTGCATGCGTGTGCGTGCTCACAGAGGCCAGACAGGGAAACTGATCTCTTGGGGCTGGAGGGACAGGTTTTTGTGAGTTGCCTGATCTGCTTGCTGAGTTCCAGGCTTTGGTCCTCTGCTAGAGCGGTAAGCACTCTCGACCACTGAATCTTTCTAATCCCAGGGCACGTGATCTTAAAATATGCATATCTATGAACATAAAAAAGCTCCTTCTTCCTTCCACTGGGGATTCTTTTAAAAAATGCAAAATGTATCAATACCTCAGTACTTCTTACCTGAACACAAAAGCCAAACTATCTTCTATATATTTAATAAAATAAATTACAGTCCACAGTTTTTTAGTGAGGATACATACACAACTGTCTGCAGCTGGCACCCCCTTCACTCTGAAGGCATATCTTAAACATAGGAACCAGGTTCAACACTGTCTCTCTCTCTCTCTCTCTTCATTTACTATCTACTGAATACAGAGAACAGCAGCCTAGAATCTGGGACAGCTAGTCTAGGGTCAGTTTACTCTGAGGTGACTTCTTACGGCTCCCAATGCCAAAAACACAAGACATTCAGTGAGTGCTTCCTGTGGGGAGTGTGTTTGCTCCACGTAGAATCTTTGGGTCCTTCTTCTAAACAAGAGCTAGAATCCAGTAAATTTCCCAGCTGCTAACTTGTTCTGAAAGCATCAGAACTCCAAGGTGACACTGCCCCTGTGACTACTGACTTGTTAAGGGAGCCTCTCCTCCTTTACCTCCCAAAGGTAGCCATTTTAAAAACTTAAAAAAAAAAATGCACACATGGTTTAAGCCCACAGCACCAGACACTCCTTCAATTCTGGATGAAGTGTAAACACACCCATTCTCAACTGCATGCAAAACAAAGTATGATTTAGGGAGCAGTCCATTACTAATTCCAAATTTACAGGTGGGAAAAAAATTCAACATGTTGATTTCTGGATATGACCAGCCAGTCTTTTAAAAGTAGTTGGTTTTTTTTTGTTTTTTGTTTTGTAAACAGCAGCATAAATACCTCCCGGCATACCTTCCAAGCCTTCTCAGCTAAACTTGTGTTTCTGGTGTACATGCGACACGGCGACAGTGAACACGCTAGCATTTAATTTAAAGGAAACAAAAAGGTGCAAAACGGAAAGTGCCTTATCAATTCAACAGGAAAAGCTATGCCAGTCACTACATTTTATATTAATTAAAACAATATATAAACAATATCTCTTTAGCTATATATAGTCTTCATGCCCATTTACCCTGTGTAATATATTATAATGCTATTGTTGCGAGCGCTATGGATCCCCTTTTCACGCCATCCTGCTGACCGGCAATAATCGGTGAGAGAAACAAAATCTTCCTTCATGGACACAGAAAAGCAAGCTGTGCAAAGTAACGCCGCAACTCCCGCCATACACACCGGGGTCACCGATTAACGCTGGACTCTGTTGTTACCCGTAAGAGTCTGTGGGCAGTGAGCTATGAGAAAAGGGACTCCTCCGACTGTAGTACCCTCTTCCTGTTTATATGCCGAGGTCAACCGCTCTAGAAGCTGAGACAGAAAAAGGGTCCATATCTGTAGGCATAGTGGAAATCATATGCATGAGCAAAACAAGTTCAGCTTTTATTGGATTTGATTGTTTCCCCTTTGTGCCTGAACCCCGATCACCACAAGATGTCTGTGCAGTGTGTTGGCACTCCAGGGTTGTGCAGGGCCATAGAAAGTGTCTCAGTTAAATGTGTCTTCGTTGTTATTGTTTTATTTCCTTTTTTATTTTCTTTCTTACTTTCATGTTTGTACTCCAGATGTTCTAGAGGTGCTCAGGTGCTACATTTACCCATCGATTTGCATTGCTGGCTCAAATTCTGAAGTGAACAATTCCTTGTATAATGGAGGAAAATGGAGTCGCACAATGTCTGGGTATATTGCTTTAAATGCCATTAGCTTTTCTGTATGTCGTCCACATAGGGCTCTTAACGTAGACACCTTGCATATTAGCTGTAAACAAGAGAAAGGACAGGATGTCAAGGGAGGGCAGCCATGAGAGTGAAAATCAAGGAGTCACTACAACATTGCTTGTCATGGTGAGACACACTTGATGCTGACTAAGCATGCTTCCAGTGGGGGAAGAGATAAATGGTGATCCTGTGTTAGAATGCTTGAAATAGGCCAAATATGTTTAGAAGATGAATAATTTAAGTCAAGGAGGGATTCTTGTTCTCCCCTCCCCCCAGTGCTGGAGCTCATATGGGGTTTTACACTCCTCTCTGTTCCAGGGTGTACCATCTGGAGACCCACTGGCTACCTCTGTGAGAAAGGAAGAGGTCTGCTGATGGAGAAGTAGGTGAGTGGCTGCCCTGGTTACAAAGTCACCACAGCCAGAGAGAACGCTGGATGCAATGAGTGTGAATCGATTCTTTTGTTTTAGTTTTAAAAATTACATTTCTTTCTTTCTTTCTTTGTCTCTCTCTCTGTACACACACACACATATACACACATACACACACACACACATTCTGGAAGTCAAACTCAGATCATTTTGCTATTGCCTTGAGTCTCTTTAGTCATCTCACCGTACTATATGAGTAAATTCTATGGGCAAGCCACTCAGGATCTCAGCAAATGAGCATTTAGCAGCTGGAGGTCACAGCAGTGACCTGCAAAGGTGCTTGTAAACTCTGCTGTACTGCACAAAGGCAAGCTGCCCGTGGTTTCAGATCAGTCCCTGTCTCTAGGAAATGTCTTCAATAGATCCTGTCTGTATCACACCCTCTCTATAACAACCACCCTCATGGTGGCCTCAGACTTGGGCAGAAGGGACATTCTATTTCCTTCTTGCTCACTGATCAGGTACAAAATCAGAACCACACCCACTACTATGACCTCCTCAAAGTGTCAGAAAAGAACAGAAGCAATCAGTCAGGAAACCTAAGCCCCAGACACCTCGAATCACCTTGTACAGTAAACCATGTCAAATGGGCAAAGACTGGAGAGAACTGCCTTTTCCAACATCAGAAGCAACACGGAAAGATCTATCATATGTTTTAGCTGCAAAAGACAATTAGCCTAAGTGGAGCCTTGTGCTTTTAATACAGCACAGAATAGGAAACTGATAAAATACAAAAAGCAATGTATTGCTGATAACCAATTAATTTAAGAGAACCAATATTAGAATATTTGGTTATCTTCTTTTAGTCCTGTTTAAAGTCGTCCTTCTGAATTTAAAGACACTCCTGCTTTACATGAGGGCAGCGTGTCGATCCTTTTTTATGTTTAAGTTTAAAGAACAGGAAGAGGTTCCTGAGAGGATTAGTTCTTTTTTTTTTTTTTGGTGGGAGGTGGTAGAGAAATGGCTCAGCAATTAAGAGCACATACTGTTCTTGCAGAGGACCAGAGTTTAGTTCCCAGCTCACAAATTTGACAGCTCACAACTGCCTAAGACTTTAATTCCAGAGGATCTAACACCCTCTTCTGGTCTCTGTGAGCACTTGCATGTACATGCACCCCTCTTCACACATGTAATTAACATGTAATGAAATGCTGCTTTCCCAGACTGCTGCATTACTGCAGGAAACTTAGTGATCAATTATACTAAGTAGAGTCTAACCTGGGCAATGAGTTTTGGCTCAACAGAATTTTCTGACGTAGTAGCCCGTGCCATGCTGATACTTTCTATGACTTATAAAGATACCTGTAAGCAAGATTTGCACCAAAGGATAGTTCTGGCCAGGCCAGCTAGGCCCCTCTGGATCTCACCTTTGTTAGAATTCCATCTTCTCGGTGGTTCTTCTGTAGGACATGCTGAAGGGCTAGCTGAATTTTCTGTTGCAGTTTTTCTATTTTTACCTTTTCCTGAAGCCATGAGCGATCTAAACATAGAAAACTGAGACTCAGTACATTCCTCCAACACAGTGTCAGACCCATGTTCCTCTTGACCAAGGCATCCTTCACTGTGCTATAGTGTGTGTTTAAAGACTCATGGACCAGTTTCATTCTTTGAAACTTTCCTTCTGCAGGATGCAAAAGCAATCCTGACGTATACACCAGGGTGTTAAATCTTTTCACTGCTACTGGTACTGGGAGGGAGGGAAGGTACTTCTCCAAAGGACAGCTAAATTATAGGGCCAAACTCAAATGATTGCAAGTGAACCCACCATGCCCCACTCTCCCCAAGCCTTTCTGATATCCCACCTGTCCCACAGCCCTTCCTGGAAAAGCAATTGCTTTTTAATCCAGAGCCTCTCAAACTGTCAATAGAATTTCAAATGATTTTAGAGTTGTTAATTTAGGAGTGTCTTCGTATGAGAATTCCAAGTGAAAGTCTATTCCCCAAGAGGCAGAGCTTCTGGGAAAATAGGTTGGATGCAGATAGACTTGTGGATGGCAGTGTTTACAAAGGCATGTTGTCTTGGAGACTTGCATCACGAAGAGCAACCCTATTTTACGAAATCCTTTTGTCTTGGTGTGTGGAGTTAGTGCTGGGTAAGGTTTTATTGAGCTATTCTTAATATTTTTATCTGCATATCATGAGGTCTCTGTCGGTATGTCTCTCTGTCTGTGTTTGAGAGGGGGGATACATGAGTGCGTATATGTTTATAGAGGCCGAGGAGGACGTCAGGTGTCCTGATCCACCACTCTCTGCTTCATTCCCTTGAGGCAGATTCTCTCACTGTACTTGGATCTGGGCTGGTAGCTGGCAGTTGCCATCAGTCCTCCAGTCACCTTCCCAGTGTCGAGGCTTACTCATGTGTGTGGCTGTGCCAAATGGCTTCCCTTTTTTTTTTTTTTAACTTGGGTGCTGAGATCCGCATGTTTGCATGGCGAGAGCTCTTACCCACTGAGCCATCTTTTCAGTCCATAAGGTCTTTGCAAAAGACTTGTGTAGCAGGGGGTGGTATTCTTTGGAAAAGTTTGAATTTAATAAAGGTGGTGGCTGCTCTTAGGAGCCCCTCAAATATTGTTTAACATGTAAAAGGTTTAACATGTAAATGCCCTGTACCTCCTGATGACACCCTGTACCTGGATGAGTCAGAAACCACTCTACTTCTATTTGCTTGTCTTACCCGCTGACATCAGTACAAATGCAGAAAATAATGCAATTTCGTCTTCTGTCAGGTGCATAGAACACAAACTCTTCCCAAATTCAAACACAAAGCTAATGAAGTCTTCACAACCTACGATTAAAATAAAAGGTGAGCCAGAAGAGTAAGAGTGTTTCTTAGTTGACTCGTTTGAAGCGTTAAGAGAGAAATCAGCCTACCCAACATCATCATTGCTAGAACATCTCCTGGTACCATTATCCCTGTCACCATCCCCACTAGTGATGGTATTATCACTAGTACCATCATCCTCAGCACCGTCAGGAGATTCATAGCCACCACTATCAGCTCACATCAGGACCGTCCCCCCACCATGTGACTCCTAGGCAGATAATTGCTTGAACAACAATCTTAAGAGTTTCCTCAGGCTTCAGAACAGCTATAAGGGGCATATTGTTAACATTCCCATTCTAGGGCTGTGAAACCAAGACTTAACAGAGATAAGTAGTGTTATACCTATGGTCACAACTGGGCATTCGAAGCCAGGTTGTCTGACTTCAGAACTCTCATTTTGAATGAACAGGATCTACTGGTAACTGGCTAACTGCAATGTCTCGATACTCAGATCCATGCTGGTGGTGTAACTACTATAACTGTTCACCAAATTGAAAAGAGAATGTGAAAGTCCTTTAAAATAATAATCCAACCCACCTAAGACTGGTTATGTTACTTTGTCTGTTGTATCTTGGTTAATATTTGTAATTGGCTGTGGGCTGCACTGTACTGAGCTAGATAAACATCCTGTCTCTCATATTTAAAACAAGCCATTTAGCATATCCTGGGTTCTGTTTGTTTCTCCATAATGGCAACATTCTGATTATTAAAATTGTAGAAAGTCAAAACAACTTGTTTTATGATGCACACGCCATAGTATTCTTTAGCCCTACTGGACTTTTTCAATGTTTACATTTCCTTTTCATAAATGATTATGAGGCCAGGGATGGTGGGCCTTTTCATCTTAGCTTCATTTTACATGTGAGCCATATTCTTTCCATTATTTGAGCACTGTATTTATTGAAAATCTACTTTATTTGAAGCCGCAAGGGTGACTGTGCAAGGCCATGCAGTAGCTCAGTCAATGGCCACCTTACAACTGAACTTGAGCTTACAGATGATGTAGACAAAGATATTTGCCGTTTGTCGAGTGTTTTATAGCAAATGGCTACTATACTCAGAAAAATAGGTGCATCATCCTTTAACTTTTGTTCCACATAACCAGTTTCTATTGTACACCAAGAGGTTCCATCCAGCCACATGCTTGCACAAGACCCCCACTTACAGAGACAAAAATGTGAGATTTCCTTACCTAAGGATTTGAAGACATCAGGGCTAGCATACTTCCCATCAAAGTACACGGTGTTGTTCTGAGAGTCAAAGGCACGGCACATCCTAATAAATACCACTTCTAGAGAGCCTGCAGGGAGGAAGGATTGTTTAGCACCATCCTACAGACCTTAGTTCCTTTCTGAGGCACTGACACAGAGGCGTTCCTGAGATAGCACAGCACTGTGTGCAGAGCAGTGCCTGGGTTCTCAGTCACACTGGCCCTCTGTCCAAGGATGCAGAAGAAATGAAAAAATGAAGACTGATTGACATTGCAGAGGGAAACATTTTTACATATTTATTACAATAGTCCAGCACAGGAATGACTCTGAGCCCATAAGCATCTTTCCAGCAGCTCAGCATTAGAGCCTGAAGGGTGAGAGTAAGATTTGAGAATACAGAAGTTTCCTAGTGAGGCCTTCTTTCCAGAGCAATGGAGAAATGCTTTCTGAACATATATTTAAAAAAAAAATATGTACATACACACAGGCATGCACGTGAACACATGCGCACCTGTGTGCGTGCACACACACTCCACAAATAACTAGAGTACGTGTGTTTTGCCTTCATGTGTGTGTGTGTACCATGTCTATGGAGGTCGGAAGAGAACACTGGATCCCCTGGAACTGTAGTTATTTATGGTGGAGCCTCCATGTGTGTGCTGGGAATTGAACCTGGGTCTTCTGCAAGAGCAGCTAGTGCTCTAACCATAGAGATATCGCCTCAGCACCCCCTAAACACATCTTTAAAACGTTTTTATAAAGAGGCTTCAATTTCTGCTAAGCATACCCTGAGCTATTATCACTGAAGAAAATGCCTTTGACATCTTCCTTAGCCAGCATTTCTTTAACAAGCAGGTGAAAACAGGCAAGAAGTGGCGCTAGGATTCACCTGCAGCACACATACCTGCTTTTAGAAGCACAATTTGATCATTTTGACACAGTTCCATAAATCCGTCAATGCGTTTGGCGAACTCCACCACATACTGGATAGCTTCTGTAATCTTGATGGCACACAGCTGCCACATCACCTCTCTCTGCTGTGAAAGAGGGAGACACATTAACATGAGACTAGCTGGGAGCCCCAGTGCAGCCAGCTTCAGGCTTGCCTCCTAGTTTGTAAAAAGCTCTTTGGAAATGGGTTAAAAAAAGATTATAGGATTAAAAAAAAATAGTCTCTGTTACTTAGGTTATAAAAGAGTGCTTCCTGCTTCCGGATCCTTTCTGCCTACTGAGATTCCTAGCTTACAGTCTGAAGGCAATGGAATGGAGGCAGGCAGTGAGGTGGGGGGAGGAAGTGAGGAATATTATGAACATATGTGGCCAATAGCTAAACACAAGCCAGGAGAGCAATGTACATTACCGCTGGAGCTGTGGGCTCCGCAGTAAGGGAGGAGCAGTTTTAATGCAGTTAATTTATTTTAGAGAGTTTACCCACACTTTACTGGGGTGGAGGGAAGAAAATGGATACCAACTACATTTTTTTTGTCTGTACCTCCTGAGCCAGATGCTTGCTTGAGAGCATCCCTGTTTCATACATTATACAAATGGTCTTCTATTCAGAAATGACATCAAAACTCGGAGGCTTCCCAGCTAGAAGGTGTAAGAGAAGCTGAGGCCAAAACCCTATTTCTCAAAGCTTGCAGGCTCTCTACATTGCTGGCTTTCCTCTGTGGCTCCGATGATGGGGTTACTTTGTACTGAGAGGCAGATTAAGTGAGCTGTTGCTGGTCCCTCCCTTCCAGTCATCACAGGGTCGCGGAGCTTTCTGCTTTGCTCCTCTGCTCTCCTGCTACACCCTGTTGTTTAAGGTTGGCTTAAGGTTCTTTCTAACAGTATGATGGCGATCAAACCCTGGAATTGAGTCGCATGAGGCCATGGTGCTGATGCTCTCACTGCGTGGTCATAGCCAAGGGATGATAATTTTCTTCCATTTCACAGCAAAGAGAAGGATTCACTTCTATCATCTCCATGGTCCTTCCCCAGTCTGACTTTCTATGATCCCTGGAAAAAGCCTCCACATCTGCTCTTTCCAATGGCAAAATGAATAAGTACCACTACCCTACCTTCAGCTTAGCCTCACATTTTAGTGGCCCCATTGGCCATTATCACAGAAATAAAAGCAAGTAGGGTCACCACCTCAGTTTTGGTTCTGAGCAGTTACAGCCAGATCTTCCAAACCTCATTCTTCTCCTTCTTTATTAAAGCCTTTATTTTTAACTCGTGTGTGTGTGTGTGTGTGTGTGTGTGTGTGTGTGTGTGTGTGTGTTTAGGACAGAGGCTTCAGGTCCCCTGAAGCTAGAGTTACAGATGAGCTACCTGACGTGGGTCTTGGGAATCAAACTCAGATCCTCTGGAAGAGCAGCAAGTGCTCTTAGCCATTGAACCATCTATCTCTCCAGCCCCATCTTTGTCCACATTTTCTAACCAACTATTTGTTAATCTAGAAGCATGCAGCATGGGGCTGAGAGTACTTTCACCAATTCTTAGACCTCAGAATCTTCTGTGGTATCGGGACAAATCCTTACTTGTGGAGGCTTTTGGAAGTTGCTCCATCCAGCCATCGCAACTGGGACACAGAAGGACTTTAAAAAACATAGTAAACTTTGTCCCAGCTGAATTTCCACACACTAGTATCTCAGGAAGACAACAAAGCCTTGAGCATGTGATCAGCTCTGGAAGTAAGGTCCTGATCAGAGCCTTGAGCTCTGTTACAGGACAGTGAGCCTTGGTCTGTTTGGACTCTTGAATGGATGCCTTCCTCTAACCCCCTTCTCGGTGTTGCCTCAGTGGGAAGAGAAAGTCCTCTGACTCTACCTTGTTCTGGTAGTTCTCAATCTCCTCCTGCAGGAAGGTCTGCCACGTTATCTGCTGGAGTTCTTCCCGCAAGTATTGGCAGGTTTCCAGGTGGGATTTGGATATGTTCTGTGCAAGGTGTTCTGGGGAGAAAACAGGAGATCACAACCATGAACAGCCACGTTGTTTTAGAAACCAATAATATTCTTCCACTGGTGTCATCCACCTTAAAAAGCAACTCACTTAAAGCAATGTGCTGACATTTAGTTTCCTTTGTGTAGCTAAGGAAGGTGGAAGCCTTTGTTTTTGGGCCCTGGGGGATGGAGGAGAGAGGCTTTGCCAAGCCAACAAGACTGCATGAAACATGGTGGATTCAGAGACTTGATGACTTGATCTTATCACAGGCTTTCTACCAGTGCCTGGAGATGAACATAGGTTAGACAGGAAAAATGATCAAAAGCCTCCTCTTGGCTTTTTATGCTATCCCAACATAAGTGGCTCTCGAAAAGCCAGGAAGATATGTAAGTGTGTGCATGCGCATACACCTTTTATTTCCGTGTATGTGTGTGTGTGTTTGTGTGTGTGTGTTCCTTAATTCCTCTCCTTGCTTTTTTCTTTTTCCCCATGGCTGGGTCTTTTATTGAACATGGAGCTCTTTGATTCAGCTAAACTGACTGGCAGTGAGCCCCGGGCGGGTCTGCATCTTCCTCCCTCCCTCCCGGGGCTGTGCTTACACCATGCCCAGGGTTGTTTTGTTTGCTTGTTTGTTTGTTTGTTTTTAAATACCTGGGTTCTTAGGGATCAAATTCAGGTCTTCATGCTGTAATGGTAAGCACTTTATTGATTGGAACCTCCTCCAAGCTCAGAAAATGCTATCCTTTAATGATGACAACCAGCTATTACCTTTGATTTCTTAGCAAACACCAGGACATACATTGCTGAGGCATGAATGGATTAGGTACTAGTTTGGCAAAGAGAGAGAGAGAGACCCTGGACTGAGACTGTCTGGGAGTGTATCTTTGCCTTGCCACTTCTGGGATATATGACCATGGCAAGTTGTTAACCTTTCTGTACTTTGCTTTCCTCCTTGGCAAAATGAAGAAAACAGCACTTGTTCATAGGATGGCTCGGAGAATCCAAGGAATCACACTTGGAACAGGCAGTGTCACATACCGATGCTGTATAACTGTTATACTGTGTATAAGGGCTTTGGTGATAGTAAATATATGCCAAAGGTGTCTCTAGAATTGGGTCACCTGTGGGCTTGTGTGGACAGACAGAAAAGATAATTCAAGATATCAGAAAGTATAGAATGTGAGGTACATCACAAGATAAAGACAGTGACTATCACTATCAGGCTAGGGAGAAATCAGGATTGGCTGGACAGAATTGGAGAACGCTTCTTAGAAAAAGAGGGATACCATATTAGACCCCAAGAGATGGGTAGAGTTGGCAGGAGGGGTCACTTGTGTTGGGAGGGGCGTGAGTTCTATATAGAAGAGACAGTGGATGAAAGAACATATATGGCATTTGTAAGGGTCAGACAGATTTGATGGTGTAACAGGGCTAAAGCAGACATAGCTAGCTAGGAGCCCACCTTCTAAAGGATCTTGGATATTTAGGATTGAGTCAGGATATGATATAAAAATAGGACTAAGCAGAACCCTGGCAGGAAAGCTGAAGTATTGAAGATTGCATCTGAGGACAGAGGACAGGCAGCTTTGTGTTTGGTAGCTTGGGACGTAGAAAGGCTGGGGTAGAAAGATCAGGTGGATAGCTGATAAAATGTAGATAGAGTTTTCATGTGAGACAAGATGTTAATCAGTGTCAGGAAACAGAAGGATGACTCAAGGAATATTTAAAAAGCTGGACGTGATAGTACATGTCTATAACTTGAATTGGGTTAGATGTAGGAGGATGGACACGTATTTGCGGCTAGCCTGATCTATATTGAATGTTCTAGGCTACCATGCCTACATAGCAGAAACTCTGTCTCCAAAAACTGTATTAGAAATAGTTGATGGGAGTTTACAAACATCAGATCATACTGAAAAGGGATCATGTTCCCAGGGTTTAGAGTCCATGGCAGGCACGTCCCTTAGGATGGCATAGAATGTGCGGCTGGCGGCAAGCGCAACAGAGCCCGCTTGTTTATAAACACAATCCAGCTTCCGTCACACAGAAGGAGACATGTTTTTGTGTGAAAACAGCAAGCTCACCTAAACACAATCTGAAACTGGAGTCTCCTTGGAGACACATAAACATAATAAACCCTAACAGCTCTGTCTGGCAACACTCAGGTAACAGAACAGCCTGGGTAAATAGTATTAAAAAAAAAAAAAAGGAATTGAATGTAAACAAGAGAAAGCACTTCAAGGAGACAGACCAAAGGAGAAGCAGAGAAGCCTGCTCACTAAGATAAAAAAATGGGTGTTGGAAAGCAGAAAATTAATGCTTAGATAAAGAGCTATCGCTATGTAAGACAGTGTCTAGACTATAAACCAAGATTTGTATATTTAAAAAAATGAGGCCCAGGAGGTACTGGGGCTCACACTCTGCCAGTCATCCTTATGTCTTTTCCAGTTATGGTCAATACCTTGTTTCAGTTGATCCTAACAAAAGTCACTGGGAGCCAAGTATGGTGCTACATGCCTGTAATCTCAGTGCTTGGGAGGCCAACACAGGAGGACTGCCATGAGTTCAAGACCAGCCTAAGTGACATAGTGAGTTTCAGGGGTACTGAGTGAAGCTTTGTCTCAAATTTTATTCAGGGCTGAGGATGTTGCTCAGAGGCAGAGTGCTTGTTTGATGTGCTCAAGACCCTAGGTTTGATTCCTAGCACTGGGAAAACCAAAACCCAAACCAAAAATGGTTCCTGGACACCTGAAGCTATGTGGGGGCTTTCCCAGCAGCCAATAGGAAGACTAATGCAGTGCACAGAGTGGGCCAGCAGGGGGCAGCAGCTACATGGTGACCAACTGACAGGCAGTGTTTCTGATTCCAGTTCATAATAGATTTTAGACCCTTCACTATTTCTAAATGTTCCTTTGATCAAGGGATAGTATAACCAGATCACATAAAATCTCAGATGTTGGTGCAGTTCTCAGGCTGGTGGGGACGGTGAGGCACTAAAACCCAGGAGTTAGGAGACAAGCTTCCTGTAGAAGCTCTGAAGCTTAGTTATTTTTCTTGCTTTGCGACACAGCGAGTCCGTCTCCCTTCTCAGTCTTGACAGTTTCAGTGCTGTCACGGTACCCAGGTGTGTTCCATCTGCTGCCCTTGGACAGCCCATGACCATCGGTAGCTAGCTATGAATGTGGCTCAATAAAAGAAAAATCTCAATTTTTCACTTTAATTATGCTGTGTGTGTTACAATCTTTAAACCCTTCAGATGTTTCTAAGAATTTTTTCTCAGACCTCAGGGTAGGACAGAACTTTTGGTATCATCTAGGCTAAACACACCTCATTTTTATAGATAGCGTCAATAATTAACATTTACACAGCCGTTGCTGTGTGGCAGAATATATATACTCAGACGAATAAAGAAGATGACAGTACCCCATTTCTTTAGCTAGGCACCTGAGCCAATAGTGTTACAGTTGTCCAGAGGCAGAGGTCTCTCTGATATAGATATCATCTGGCTTCAGAGTTTGTGCAAACCTTTATAGATATGTCAATATACAAGAGGAATAGTTGCAGCTTGCAGGCTGTGTGGCTCAGTGGTTTGTGCAACCAGCTGTGAAGCTGGGAGGGACCACAATCCACATAAGCCAGCGTCTTGTCTCATGGCGCCTAATTCATCTGCCATCTCTTACACAAGGCAGTAGCTAACAGTTGCTGTAACAAGCCCAGTTAGCACTTTTTATAAAACAAACCTTGGTTGTTTATCTGGAATTCATGGTTCAGGCACTAATCAAATGCCAAGGGCAAGATTTCCTAGTCAATGAAGTCCTGTGCTGCTCAAAATTCTGTGGGTGTAACTGTTGAAAGATGGATTGGACCCAGGACATGCTCATGTAGAACTTACTCTCCTATTGTATAGTTTCATTTGCTTAAATTCTGACAAAGTTTAGCCTCCAAGAAGGTCAGGACACTCAGAGGGGCCCCCATCCTCTCAGAGGAGAAGGGGAGAGGGATGGGGAAGGGACTGCATGAGGGGTGGACTGGGAAGTGGGACAGTGATTGGGATGTAAAATGGATAACGAACTAACTAACTAACTAACTAACTAACTAACTAACTAACTAACTAACTAGAAGGGACCACAGGACATAGACTGCAAAAAGTCTCACAGAATAGAAAAGGCAGCTCTGAAGAATGTTCAGCCAGTCTTCGGCCATTTTATGCCACACTCCGCTCCCTTGAACCACCCTGACACACAAATGGGTTAGAAAATACCCCCTTTCAGAAGAATTCTAATTTAGTTTTCAACTTGGCTCTATTTGAGTCACTTCATCCCAGAAAATGCTATAACCCATGGCTCCCAGACCTAGTGGGAGGTGACCAGTACAGGTGTGTCCACAGACTCGAGGGCACCAGCTTGGTCCTTTATAGCCCTATTTAGGTATTTGTGTACTTTTAGCCAAAATGCCATGTGCCGAGGTAAGGCTTTGGCTCAATTCTGTGGATCTGTTTCAGCACTGACTAGCAGGCAGGCGAGCAGGCAGGCTCACTGTCGCCACAGTGGAGAGGCAGCAGGCATGGGGTGAGTCAGGCCACTTTACATGAGAACATATCAGCTTTCAATCAAACCCTTATTCATTTTTGAAAATTTAATTTTCATTACAGTTCTGCTACAGGTTCAGCCAACCAAGATTCCATGGCAAAAAAAAAAAAGGGTGGGGGGTGGGTGGGGGGGGTGGGGGGGTTGTTCTAGTTCAGGGAAAAAAAAATCCAACCTACCTCTGCTCAGCATGACTTCTAGTTCAGAGGTTTCTGTGCTAATCAAAAGAGCGGTGGTGCACCTTTAGCGATGTGCGGTGGTTAAAGAGCAGGCTTAAAATGCCCCAGCTCCGGAGGATTTAAATTTAGATCCATAAAGAGATGCTTGTGTAAAAACCGTCAAGGACGTTCAATTTGTTCTATTTGGAGATTTTGGACTGGAAATATAAATTTTCACTTAAAAAAAAAGATGTTTTATGGGGTACAGAGGTGGAGGTGCCATCTAAAGAACACAGCCTTTATGGCTGTGAGCCGGGGGTTTCTGTGCTCAAGTCAGAACCCGCTGGTTCTTTACCACCCTGGGTCCCCACTGTGGCTCACCGGTCTCTGCAGCAGCTAATTGAAATATCCCAAAGGGGTATAATAACCCCATGTGCAGAATCACTGGGAACAGCAGATCACTTGAAAACTGTAAAGGCTCTTATCAAAGGTTTTTTAAATAATAGTGCCATATTTAAAAAATTGATTAAATATAGAGTGTTAGTATAACGCACGTGAAGGGACATTTCCATTGTCTGTGCCATCTGTGTTTCTAGGCCATCATCTCCCCAGAAATGGCCATGCCCTGACAATAGGAAAACAGAGGTGTTTGTGTCTTTGGGGATTTTTGTTTTGTTTTGTTTTCCCTTTTTCTTTTCTTCCTTTTGGTGAAGCAAGCCTTGTATGAAATCTTACCAGTTTTGCCACCAATGGTCATCTTTAAAACATTCTGGCAAGTTCGAGGTAAGTCACCTCAGGCATTTACAATTCACACCAGTGCAGCAAAGCTTGGTTACCTGAGGGCCCGCCAGACGGGTCATCCCCCAAGGGTACCAGCTGGATACTGGTGTCCAAAAATATTGGCCCAATGTAATTAAAAAAAATTAAATCCCCCACAAAAGGCTGACAAGCTGATTTTTCTTGTAAGTGGTCAAGTTTAGCAGGGTAGGACTGGGACTGAGAGAATGCACAACAGTTGCTTCGTACAGTTCAAATTGTAAGAGGAACAAACTGTCACGTGCGGCTCCACATTAGAATGGCTCAGATAATAGTAATATGGTCATCCCTTTGAAAACGCAGGAAAGGAAGGTTCTGAATGCTCACTGTGAATCAATTTTAAGTGTTCAATATGACAGGTATGCTACATGCCCTTAGCTGATTATTACAGCACGTTTACATTTGTTGAAACGGCACACGGTCCCTCATGATTTACACACAGCTGTTAAAGTGTCAATTAAAAACTTAAAAATGTTAGCAACCAGTTTAAAGACTTTAAAATATAAAAATATGCCTCCAACTTAGATTTGGCTGGTGGACTCTGTGTATGTGTGTGACCATGGACATAAAGGAATACCTGGAGTCTAAGTGAATAACCAGTGCAAGTGGCCTACCCCTGTGCTTACTGTGGATCCCCTGTGCTTACTGTGGATCCCCCTGTGCTTACTGTGGATCCCCCTGTGCTTACTGTGGATCCCCTGTGCTTACTGTGGAGCACAGGCTGCTTACACACATCCCATCTGGTCCCAGAGCACTACATTTGTAATGAACACTCATGGGAAAAATCGGACAGTGAGGCTATATCTGAATCTCGAGAAAGGCGGAGGGGGAATCCTGCCCATCAGAGAGGGCATTCCCTTGAACCCCTTTTCACTTTTCAGGGAATGCTCAAAGCCAGCCAGTGGCAGCATGCATTGCCTTACCTAGTTCTGCCATGGACACGGTTGGGGAAGTTTCTCCGTTGGTGAAGGAACAGTAGGGGAAGAAGCCAGATGCTGGTGTGTAGTCACATATGGGTTCGGGTTTGATCCCATTGATGTCCAATCCCGACTGGTCTGGGGAGGGCTGGATGTCCAGGTAGAAGCTGCTGACTGCTGAGTCGGCCTTGCTGCCCTCGGGGGTGTGCCCATCCATGTAGGTGCTGAGGTCATCATGCAGTTCCGTCAGCCCATTGGCTGAGATGTTGTAGGTGGGCGTCAGTGGCTCAGCCTCCCCAGGCTGCTGCTGGTGGTCTCGCTGCTGCTGCTGCATCCGGTGCTTCTGCACCTCGGCATACAAGCTGTCTCTTTGCTTCTTGGACATCCGGCCAAACTTGACAGCTGGGAAGAGAGGAAACGAAGCATACCTTGAACCAGGCAGAGTTATCCTCTCTCAAGCTTTCAGGTCTCCAGAACGCCTCAGAGCAAGTCAGCATAAAAGCAGGTCACCCACAAGGCAGGAACAACTTCCTCAAGTGCCCCCACCCCAAACACACAGTCTGCAAGCTAGCCCAGGCAACCCTTCCCTTGTTTTTCTGCAGTGTTGTACCCCAGGCTCATTAAGAATATAATGTTTTGATTTTTCTTTTTGATACAGTGTCTCACCCAGTAAGCCCAGACTGGCCTGGGGTGAGGCCTGGTCACCTCACCTCAGTCTCCTGAGTACTGGCTGTTTGAATTACAGGCACGCTCCACCTAGCTCTATGGTGTAATGATCTGTCATTCACTTTATACTGCATGGCCTGGCCCAGACTTTGCAGTGTTTGAATGGACAGGCAGAGATGCAAAGATTCATGGGGTATACGGAGGCAGGAGATTCACCTATTACTAAGTGTTCTTTCTATGCTGTACATAAGAATGACACTGACCAGCTGAATCTGGGGGCTTTATGGTGAAGCTGTCTATAGTTCCCAGAATTGTATGTCTGAGTCAGCCTAACCTATGAGAGCTGTGTGCAGTCATGGTCTTGTCTCTATTTTCTTTTTGGAGATAGGGGAGTCATTTCACTGTGTTGCCCAGGTTGGCCATCAACTACCAGGTGCAAGCTGTCATCATCTCTGCCTCCCAAGTAGCTAAGGCACAAACCCCACCATCTTAACTGGATCCATCATTACGTGATACTTTGCTGTGCAATCATTTAGCCTCAGGTAAAGAGAACGAGGGGGGGCAAGGCCTGTAAGATCCCCTGGGGAGGGTCTGTGTCTGCAGCTCTTCTCCTCAGGATCAGTCCTCTTATTAAAGGTAGTAAGGGGGCAGCAGCTTCCTGGATCACTGTCTCTGGTGTTTTCTCCTGAATCACTCATCCAGATATAGAAAACATTTTCCTGACTTGATTTCTCCCACCGAGGGTGTCGTCCCCCTGTCCCCTTGTTTAGACACTCTTAGATGAAGCTTCTTGCTGGAGGGATTTAGTTCTCCTAATTGATTATAGTTAAATTGAGTCCTGATTGAGGGGATGAACTCATTCAATCCAGCATTGTCAGAGTGACAGAGTGACAGAGGGGCAGAAGGCAGGGGAGATGGAAATGCCACTGGGAACCGAGAACACTCCACTGACCAGCTGGTGGGCTCTCCCTGCCAGGGGAGGATTCGCTGCCTTTTATCCAGAGGGGAAAAGCCAGGAGCTCAGCCATTCTGGAGCTTTCCCAGCTCAGATGGGGCTGGGTGACAAACGGGTATATAAGTTTATAAACCTCGAAAAAGATTTCTTTCTCACAACAAGTTAATCTATCTTATGACATACATATGTAAGGAGCCATCCTGAAGATACTTAACTTTGGGAGGGGCAAAGGCCATTTTAGAAATCCCCCTGAGGAAAACTGCTCTAGCTCTAACATTATACTTTAATTTTGGTCCTAATAAAAGGATACTTGTATCCAGTGAGGGGGGGGAAGGACCAGCTCACAGAAATGCACTTATAACAGGCAGACAGGAGCCATACCTAACTGTCAGTTTAATGCTGAAGAAAGACAGAAGATGCAAAAAGATTCACAAGATATGTAGTGCAAGTCAACTTGAGCCTGGGTGGCTCTGTTGGCCCTAAGAACAGTTGATAGTAGGAAGGGTAGACAGCCCACACCCCAAGAGATCTCTGAAGACGGTCAGTATACTAAGAAAAGTCCTTAAAATGGACCCACTGCATTTCCTGCCATTGTCCATGCATGACTGTCTTGAATCCTGTGTTATTCAGTATACTTAAGAACAGCTTCAGGGAGGGATCTTGAGATGCTCTGTAATTGGAAAGGGGCCCATCCCTAGTTGTCATGCCTTCTCAATGAAAAAGGACACCTACCACTGAGCCTCACTATTTTCACACGTTTGGAAGGTGCAAAATTTGACTTTGGCAGGCATTTCGGATGACCCAGTTACCTTAAGAACGATTTCCTGCCAAATGCCAGTAGACTTACCAGCATAAGGCAAGTACCAATTTGTCCTGGCTTGGGTTTCCTGTACAAAATCCCTCAGATGACACATACCTGTAGTTTCTGAAATGTTGACAACCTGAAGCAATTCTGACTACAGCACTCTTCTCTGTCTACCTCATCAGCTAGTTAGCTGATTCCAGTAGATCATGAATACAGGAAGTGCTCTGGATTACAGGAAGCTGCCAGCGGGGCCTGGGAAAGGGTTGAGAGAGCTTCCCCTGATGGAGCAGTGCCCATGTTGCATGGGTGTTTGCCCAGCCCCATGCATTTGTCCCATGTCAGCTCTGAGAGGCTCACCATCTCGAGACATCCCCACGGCCAGGCATTTCTGCAGCCGACAGTGCTGGCAGCGGTTTCTGCTGGTCCGATCGATCAAACAGTTCTTCTGACGAGGACAGGAATAGGTGGCATTGCTTTGCTGACTTCTCCTGAAAAAGCCCTGTGATTCAGTTATAAATACGGAACAGGTTAGTGTCAGTTCCAGCGGTGATACCCAAAGGCTGGGTACTAAGCATCAAGCATCAAGTGGCATTAATATTTAATGGAGGGTTAAGTTTGGAGCAGAATCATCCAGGAGACCATTAATGAAATTAAAGTCACTTCCTTTTCCTTGAGTAAAATTAACCCCCAGAGCCTAATCCTCCATCCCTTACACATGCAAAACTTCTTTAACTTCCACTCCATTGCCTGTGTAAAAGACACATGATCTGGGTGATCAAACAAAGCAGTGTGCTTGCTGCAGTCACACCAAAGGATTTGCCTTTAACCTGTATCTCCAAAATACCTTTTCTTTTGGTGCATTTGTGGAGGTATACACAAAAAAGTATGTGCGTGTATGTTTGTGTGTGCACATACATGTTCCTATGTGTGCTACAGAGGCCAGATGAGGTGTCCTGGTGTCACACGGCCTTATTTTGCTGAAAAAGGGTCTATCACTGTGCCTGGAAATAGACTGTCAGGTTGCAAGACCCAGTGAGCCTTCTATCTCTGTTTCCCACAATGCTGGAGTGATAGGTGCCCCTATCATGCCTGGCTTTTTATGTGGGTGCTGGGGATTCAAACTTAGGCTCTCATGCTTGTGCAGTAAGTGCTGTATCCCATGATGTTATCTATCTCCCAAGCCTCCAAAACACTTTTTGGTAAACTAACACTTTTTTGGGCTGCCCAGAGTTAAGGGAAATGTATTTGCATCCAGCTCGCTTCTGTCTGGGTATGCCGTGATGTTTTCTCTCTACCGCTCAAGCCTCTACCTCTTTGGCCATCTCTCACTCCCCAAGTCTGAACCTATTGGAGCCAACAGTTAGATGACGCTTGGATTGACTACTTTAAAGGTTAGTTGCATTGTGAATTCTCAGTCCTTACTGGTTGGGAATCAGCAGTGCTTAGAACCATGGCCTTTAGGCTTAGATCCAGCGTGGTGATCACCAGCTTCTCATTTGTCTTGAGTGCTATGCTGGAGATGAGAGGGTATGCAAAGACACACAGGAGTTGCTGACCTTAAGGTGTGTGTTGATTAACTTCCTGATTTTCAGTATGGGGACTAGAAGGTGCAAGCTTTTCTTTAGTGATTTTGTAGGAGAAACCCACAAGCTTAGTACAGGTGTAATATTTCCACTATAGCTGACATAAAAATATGTTTTAGTCAGCCATATATTTCTCATGCAACACATGTGCTACTTAGAAGCATATTTCATAACTTCCAAAAATACGTGGTAGTGACAGGGTTGGGTGTGTGTGTTTATTTCTTTCAATGGTATCTTAGCCTGGGCAAAAGAAAAACACACAAAAGAAAAGTAAGGAGTTGTTTGTGGGAAGCAGAACCACAAAGGGTACAAGAGAGAGAATGGTCATCTTCAGGGCTGTCTTTAATGATAAAGACAGATGTCTCCAGCCAAGGGGACATTGGCGGGGGGGGCAGGATGGAACAAGGAATGTCAAAATATTGATATGCTTCAGCCAACAGATTTTTCTAGAGGCAGATTAGGCTACTATATCAGAATTAAGGACAGAAATAAAATATGCTGGTCCTGTAAGTGGGGAGTGTTTTCTAGAGAAACAGTACAAGATTCATCCAGAAGGATGCTCTTTAGAGCACTAGGTGACCGCTGTGACTGACTTGAGTTCTAGTACACACTCGTACTATGGAGTTGGATAATCACTGAAAATCATGTTTCAGAAATACTGTTAGTATAAAAAGGTTAGCATATAAAATTGGCTAAATATCTAAGCCCAGTGTAATCCAGTCCAAGAGTGGGAGAGCACCCTATATTTTATGTAAAAGAAACTATGAAAAATTATGCCCCCCAAGAGAAGGATTGCTAGTCTTGGCTAGTGGGCCCATTAGTGACTCTTAATTTTCTCCTTTTCCTTTTGCTTTCTGATTATCCCTCTACAGGTCGGTGGACAGGTCTGTAAGGCATTCCAGATCTGCCATCATTGGCCTCACCTGTTGCTTTGTGACGACTGGGGTAAGTTAGATGCACGTGAGCCAGGTTCTTCTGACCCACTTTGTATCGAGCCAGTGTCTTAGAAAGGAGTCCCCTGTCAAAATATTTAAAGCTGTGTGTGCGTGTGCGTGTGCGTGTGCGTGTGTTCTCTGGTAAAAAGGGAGTGTGAAAATTTTTCTTAGAACTAACTAGAAGGAAGCCAAGAAAATATATTTTAAAGCACACCAAAAGGTCACTCACATGGGTAGTCATTTTGGTCTCTGTCCCTTTATCATTTTCTTGGGGCTCAGCCACTGGCTACACCTTCTATTTTTCTTTCATAGGGATTTACAATTTTTAATTTATTTATTTGTGTGAAGGGTAAAGGGACTGGAGCCTCTTGAGATGGAATGGCTTGTTCAAATCCCACCTCCCACACTTCAGGAAGCTAGGACAGAGATTTTTTCAGACTTCTTTCTAGAATACTCTTGTCCCCTTTGTTTCCACAATAAGTAGCAGGACAGATTGACTCTGAAATTAACATTTTTCCTCTAGATTCATTCCTTCAGCTGGCCCAGGCTGCCACTGCACAAGCATCTTATCAACTCATGGTCTACACTGCAGCCGAGATGGGAAGGGAGTCACAGGAGAAATCAGCCTCCGATTCCAGCATCCCCCTTCCTTTCTGGCCTGAAGCATTATGTTCCCTTTGGTTCTTACCTACCCTGCCCACATCATAATCTGTCTCATTCATGGAGTGAACGGCAATGAAACTCAGAGCAAGGGCTCAGAGTCACTCTCATTAGGGATGTCTGAGTGAATCTGGCTGTAATCTGCAAGAAAAGTTAATGCAGCATTCTGTGTTTCTAGGGTTGGAGGAGGGGCAGCAAGCCTGGAGCTTGTGACTGGCTTACAAACTGTCTGCCTAGATATGGAGTTGGGAAGGATTTGGGAAAGCAACCCCCAGCAGACATACCCTCTTCACCTCACATTTATCCTTCAGTTGAGTCCATCAAGAACACGTTTACTCAGCGGCTTTGAGAGGGCAGAGCTGAGAACTAGGACAAGGCCATTCTCTTGGACAAAGATGATAGAGTCTCATCTTCAAGGAGAAATATCCCATTCCCTATGGGAGGAGCCCAGTGGAACTTTCTAGGGAGAGACTGGGGAGGCTGCCCTGACTCAGCCAAACTGAACTTTTGCATTTTCTGAAAGACTGAGTACTTTGCCTTCTTTGTGTGTGTGGCCCATTCGTGTGAACTCTAGTGCCAAACCTGGGGTTTGTTCATCAGGTGCTGTTCACCTTAACTTTTTGTTTCTTTTCTACCTTATGTTTTGAGACTGGGTTGCTCATGGGACCTTAAGATTATGCTAGGCTGGCTGAGGAGTGGGCCCAGGTCTCCACCCACTACCCGTGCAACATGGGGACTGTAAATGCATGCATGCAACCACACCTGGCCTTTACCATGGGATTGAACTCAGGTCTTCATGTTTACACGGTAAATGCTTCATTGAGCTATCTCCTGAGCCCATGCCTTCTTTAAAAACCTCCCCAGTATTCCTTGGAGAAATTTCTGAGCAGTTTAAATGTCTAGGAAGTTAAACTGGTAAAACAAGTAAAGCTTTAGAATCCATAGGAGGGAGAATTAGACGTGAGAAAGAAACCATAGAAAGCTTAGGGGATTCCTTGTTTCCTAATGAGGAAACAGCATGCTTCTGAGTGAGAAGCAGGATTTTGTCTGCTTGGAGCATATCCTAGAGAAGGTTCCTCTGAGACTTGAGTTTCTGAGGTTGAGCAGCCTGTGGCAAAGCTCTGAGAGGAATATGTATCACAAAGCCAGCACTCAAGTCAAGGATTGGCAAGAAAGAAATTAACTACATCACTGTGCAATTTTGCTAGTGCCAAAAGGTATGTCAGAACACTTGAAGTAGCTCCATTCTAGACATGGTGGACTTGAGGAAGGAGTCACCATCATCTACCGCGGGCAGGAGATGCTTGGACTGTGGCACATTACCACCACCTAGTGGCTATATGCTGCCATGCAGCCCTTCAAAATGTGACACCAATAGGCCTTCAGTGCTGGAAGGAAGCTGAAAGATTATCAGGTCCTATAACCTTTAACTGCCGACATTGATAGAATCACCCATGTAGGTTTTGACAATGTACCACAGATCTGTTACCTTTAGAGATACACTTCACGGGAACTCATAAGTCTGAGAAACATGAAGCAGTCTTACTGACATGCCTGCGTAAACATGAGCTGAACGAGGGCACCAATAAGACCTGGTAACACGGGCAGCAGAAGGCCGAAGAGGCTTCAACCTGACACAGAAAGTCACAGACAACCAAAGGATGCTGTGAGAAACAGTCTTCCCCCAGGGAACAGCATATCAGCTGCTTATCTGGTATCAAATGGATAGCCCTTGAAACATGTACACATTGTACAGACTGAGCAGGTTGTGTTTAGGAATATATATGAGTATCTATGAAACAACAATTAATGAAAAGAAAGATTAATTAATTAAAATTATCAGAATTAATTAAATAATTGAATATTAATGAAATTATTGAAATGAAAAATCATTGAAATTAATTGAATAATCAATTAATGAAAGAACGCAAGGAAGGGTATATGGATGGGATGGTCTGGGGTGAGGAAGGGAAATGATGTAATTGTATTATAATCTCAAAAATATAAGAAATAAAGATAATTATGCATGTGTGTCCCTGGGTGTGGACTGTACACTTGAGTGCAGTGTCTGAGAGGCCAGATGAGGGCATCAGATTCCCTAGTTTACAGAGGGTTCTGAGCCACTTGAAGCGGGTGCTGGGAACTAAACTCTGGAAGAAAATACAAGCTCTTAGCTGCTGAGTCATCCCTGGAGCCCTGGGCCGCTTTGTCTTGAAAGTACATTTTTTAGTCTCACTTATGAGAAAACAAAATAGTTATTTGGTTATATATATCACATTTGACCCTTGGGTGGGACTTTCTTCTATTTCCCGGGTTAGGAC